TTAAGGGTAGGCAACGCATCTGCAAATTCAGGCTTTCTCGGCGAATCTGGGTGGCCCCACGCACGTTTGCCACCGTATGATGTAAAGAAAGCAGGAATTTAAATTATTGTTTACAACAGATTGTCAATTACATTGTATTTTCTTTTTCTGTACATATTTTACCAATACACGTTTCAATGAAACTTAATTTTTTAAAAGCTTTTATCCATACAGGTTAGATTTATATCATAGGTTAAGTCAGACGTTTTAGATGTATAATTGTGTTACTAAATGTATGTATGTTGTCTGCAGCAAGGTGACGGAGGGCGGGGAGGAGGTGTGGGTGTTCACGGGGGAGTACTGGAAGGCGCGCGACGCGGGCTTTCCCGGGCTGCGCGCGCCCGCCATCTGGTGACCGCGTCTGGCTATACACGTACGTATACAAAGTACACTGTACCTACACGTGCGTACTTATACGTGCTCATAGTACGCTGTACCTAGACGTGCGTACTCATACGTACACAAAGTACACTGTACCTACACCTGCGTACTTATACATACTCATTGTACGCTGTACCTAGACGTGCATGCTTATACGTACACAAAGTACACTGTACCTACACGTGCGTACTTGTACGTACACATAGTACGCTGTACCTAGACGTCCGTACTTATAGGTACATAAAGTACACTGGACCTACACCTGCGTACTTATACGTACACATAGTACACTGTACCTACACGTGCGTACTTATAGATATATAAAGTGCACTGTACCTACACCTGCATAATTATACGTACACATAGTACACTGTACCTACACGTGCGTACTCTTACGTACACATAGTACGCTGTACCTAGACGTCCGTACTTATATGTACACATAGTACACTGTACCTACACGTTAGTACTCATACGTACATATAGTACGCTGTACCTATAAGTGCGTAAACAATGCATGATGTACACCTGAGAACTTACAAGTACACCGAATTTTCACGTACTTACATAAACGTACAAGTACGTTAAAATAACTTGCACTTAATTAATCTTATTCGTGGACACAAAACCTTTGATTTTCTGAAAATAGCACTTCTAATGGTATTTTTTGTTTTAGAGATATCAAGTCTTTTTCATTGTTTATTTAGAAACTAACACTAAAAAATATTTAAAAAAAATATGACCTATATTGATTGATGTTTTTTTCTCATTTCAGCGTATACCGGCTTGCGAGCTGCTCTGCTAGCTTAGCTTCACACGATTCTAGCCTCTGACGTTATATTCCTTGTACTACACTAGCTGCGGATATAAGGGCGAGATTTGTATGACAAACATTAAAGCTTCACTCTGGCCGCTAAGGGACCCCCTTAGTGGCTGTTTACGGCTCTGTGACAGTATACTATTTAATTGTTTACGGACGTTTTAAATTAATTACATATTTTTTACTTTACATTTTGATATTTGTGTTTAGTACATACAAATGTATGGACATGTATGAATTTTGAATTTATTTTGCTTTGACTTTTATTTGATTATTTATTGTCATTTATTTATAATCGAATAAATTAATTAAACAAGCAAAATAAATGGGATTAAAATCTGCGATATACAGGATGTTCTATTTTGTAATATGTATGTATTTTGGAACATCCTTGTTATACATTTTTTAATACGTTGAATAATTAAGTCGAAATGAATTTTATCATTTTCAAGTTACTGTCAATGCAAATATATGAAAAGATAAAAATAATATTTATTAAATAATTTTGTCCATAAGTGTCAAGTTTGATGCTCTGTCTACCTCATTAATGAAAAAGGCGTAATACAGGCCTTAAATTTTGTTTAAATGTCTTAATTTTGGCTTTCTTTCGTTTTTTTTTTTAAATATAAAGGCTTATTCCTCTAGGCAGATAGTCACCTAGTAGAAAGGCCGACTAAAAAATGTTCTACAATGTTGTAAATACAGGATGTTTCTAAATCTCGGCTGTGACATGAAATTTCCAATGTTTTTTTTTATTTATTTTTTAAATCATTTGTTTATATGTATAGCATTTTTGTTTTTATATTTTCCTAATAATAGGAAGCAAATGTTTTTTACAACGTCAAAGACGTTTTGACGTATCGCCACAGGGCAAACAGTCACAATGTCAAATCATTTTTGACAGCTGTCAAATTTTACTAGTGATGGGATTCTGAATAGATAGATTGAAGCATTTTATTTATTCAATAATTATTTCTATAAAAAAAAGGTTTGGTCTAACAGCTGTCAGAATTGGGCTTGACAATTTCATGATATTAAAAGAACTAATTTCGATATGAGTAAATAACGACGTTTAAGAAAACATAATTTGTATACTGTATTTAACAATTTTAATGCAAGAATTACATTAAGTATGTATTTTCGCAACATGCTGTGTATTGTCAATTCATAATCACAGAAGGCTGTTAAGTGTCGTGTTTACTGCACAAAATTCGAGAAGTCGAATTTAGTACTACATGGAGAAAAAAACGTGTTAAAGTGGGTTTCCACTGCGAAAATGACGAATGAAATAAAATTTTTCTCCATGAAGTCAGTGGAAACGCACTTTAAATACAAGGCTTAAATTTCTAATAGTACAAATTTGTAACGTTGTAATGAAAGCCGAAAGTTACAGGATGTTCCTTTTTTAAATATTCTGTTTGAAGATTTTTTAATATTTTTAGGATGATGTGCCTTAAGTATGTTTCAAAGATTGAAATAGTTGAGCTAGTAATTATTTTCTTCAACTCCATGTAGTACTGTAGATTTGTAACGCAATGACATTTATTGCTGTCTCTCTTTTGTTAGAGAAAGAAAGGGACGACAGTATACAAGTGTCATTGCAGTTGTAGGGTAATTCCATTTGCTTGCTAAAGCAATGCCAGGGCTTTCTCGGTATAAAATTATATACAGGATGATTGGTTAGTTAGTAACGATACTGAAGTTTTTAGATTTTCATTAGTTATGTAATTAAGTTTTGATATTGTCCAAATTTTACTAATATAAATGCAAAAGTTTAGATGGATGTTTGTTAGAGTTTGTAGCCTAAACTTCTTGAAGGGATCTTAATTAAATACGGCATAGATGAGGAGGATAGTTTGGAAAAACACATAGGCTACTTTTTTTTCTTTAATTTCACGTGGACGGAGTTGCTGGCTAAAGCTAGTTTTACTATAAATAAATGAAGTGCAAACAGTAAACAATGAATACATGACAATTATGTGTTTACGTCATGTTTAGTATGACCATACGTTGTGTAATTAATTGAAATATATTTCTATATGAATAAATGTCCCATTCTCGAGTATCGTTATTGTTTCACCAATCATCCTGTATAACTATAGGATATATTCGATGTTGTTGCTAGTTGTAGGTTTTTTGTAGATATCGATTGCTTTGACATTTGTAATATTGCTTTCTCTGTCTTGTTAAAGAGAAAATGATGACAAGTGTCACAGAAATTGAATTCTAAGGTTAGGGTTTTGTATATAGTATGATGTTTTTTTCTTAGTAATATTGACGCTTCATTGACAATTTTTATCACCCTGTATGCTCTCTTTTTCTTATGTTTTGTTTATTGTTTGTTCTTGCTATGTCCTGTTAAAAGTTTTTATTTGTTTATTAATAGATTTAATTGATTTTTATTGTTATTGCTTTTGTATTTAAAACTAACATGACATTTTCTAGAACATTCTGAAATTTGTTTTATTAGTGTTGTCTATGTAAATGTACTTTTCTACTTTTTTAGGCGTAAAGGCTTAAAAAATGTAGAATATCTATTCCTTTATTTGTTCTAGTCAAACTTGTAAAAGTATGATTTGTAGAACTTTTCTTGTTTTTATGATATAAAGAAATTAATGTACAGTAACTGGCTTACTGCACATATCCATTGAGCCTCGAGCCTACCCTTAATTAGGGGTGGAAGAAATTAATGTATTGTTATTATATGTATTGGTTCCGGAAGCCAGACTTTTTCTTAAAAAAAGGATGGGAGGGGACGTGGATTTGACGCTGGAGATGACGTACAGGAAGGGGAAATGTCCTTATTTATGTGCGTTTCTCTGTCGATTAAGGATAGGCAACGCACCTATTACGAATGTCAGAGCAGCGGTCGCTTCGCTATTTCGGCGAATTCAGGTGGCCGTATGCTCGTCTACCTCCTTATAGTATAAAAAAAGTAACTTTATTAAATTTTAAGCGCCAATAGCCTAATAGTTTGGGGTACGGACTACCGATCTTGAGGTCGAGGCTTCGAATCCCGCCATTCGACTATTGTCGTGAACCATATCCTAGCACTAGCTGAGAGCTTAGTTGGAATTGTTAAAGGAAATATAAGTAAATTAACAAAAATCTACTTACATTTTTATATAAAAAATATATCCTTATTTCAGTAATAGTTTTTTTTATAACATAAGATGGCAAACGAGCAAGCGGCCACCTGAATCTGCTAAAATGGCGAAGCGACCGCTGCCCATAAGCATCCGCAGTTGCAGATGCGTTGCCTACCCTTCATTGACGGAGGAGGAGACGCACATAAAGAGGATATTTCCCCTTCCTATGCATCTCCACCGTCATATCCACTTCCCCTTCCCATCCTCTCCTTATAAGAAAAGGGTGGTAAAGAGAAAGGGACTTAAATTAGGCTTCCGGCACCACACTCATCAGACGAAACACGGAATTACTTCCATTTTACGCCTGTCTTCTGTGTTATTTTTTGATAAAAATTGACAATGAAGCGTATCATTCCCTTTTGTACAAGTACGGGTTTTTTGGTTGTTTTTTTATAGTACCCAGTATTGTGGAATCACGTATCTTTGAAATACTAAGATTAATGTCACTTAATAATGACAATAAGTATGTTTCTTGTATATTATTGTTAATGTTGTGGTTAAAAATGTATTGAAATGAAAAATTTTGCAGCTTTTTAAAAGTTTTCATCAATTCACATTGCTATCATGTCTGGCTTGAAGCAAGTGTTTAAAAAGTTTATTGTATTATAAATATGTTTTTTTTTTAATCAAATAAAGACAAAATGTAATCGTAATTATGTTGGCATTCCAACTGTTTACAAATGTTATGTTTTTTAATTTGTTTTTTAGTTTTTTAATATGCTTTAATGCAATTCGTGTATGTGATTGAACTAAATGACAATTTACAGTCGATTTTTTAATGTTAGCTCTGGCTGTATGAGCAGACTTTTGCCCGCTTAGCGAAAAAAAAACTAACTGTCAATGTCAAACTTTTTTTGTTTTTATTTCGTTTGTAAATTAATGTAATCTTGAATCGTGTACAATTATTTCAATGCTTTTTAAAGTATTTAATATACTTGTAATTTTATTAATGCCAATTATTTATTACAATTTCTACTGGTGCGTTGTTTTTTTTATTGTACAAAATTTTTAATCTGTGAATTCCAGTTTTAACGTAATTTGTTTAAGAGTTCTAATTGAATAACTTTTATTATAGTTATGGGTATAGGAATAATTGATATATAATGTTTTCAATGTATTTTTATGTAATTCAGTATAAGTGCCTTTGTAATTAATTTTTCATGTCCAAGAGAGAAATAATAGGTAGATGGCTCTAAATATAACTGGTATAATTTTTTATATAAATAACCATAAACACTGGTAACCAAGAAATAATGGTACTATTAATTTAAAAAAAAAAACATTGATTTCGTCATTTTATTAAAATTAGAATTAACGTTTAAAAACAGTTATAGTATTCGTTATTTAAAAAAGACGTTAATACAATTTAAAAAGTTGCATAACATTTTTTTCATAATAGAATGTTTATATTTTTTAAAATTAATATAAGAGTGCTTCTACATATCGGTTTTATTTGAATCGATTTGCTAAATGAAAGTCACAAAAGCAATGTTTATTAAATTAATCTATGTAGTGTTGATAAATGACAAATATACTTGAATCTACTTCAATATATTTAGGATAATAAAATTACAAAACATATATTCTTAGGGCCTGTCCCACCAAATTGTAAATTGTCTGATAACAACGTGTAAAATATGTAATGGAAATACAGGATTTAGTTCCCTTATCTGACGGTTGTCATTTTTAATCTATCTGAGTCTATCAGCCAGTGGTGGGACATGCCCTTAGCACTCAATTTCGTCTTTTAAATTAACTCCAATGGCTTTTTTTCTGAAATGTAAAAGTCATTTATTAACACTGCCAGGCCAAATAACCTAATTAAACTGAATTACTAAAATAATTTTAAGTAAAGTTGTATACAAATTGTCTCATTTATGAATGAAGGCTTCTCAATAACTATAGGCTAACGCGACAGCAAGTTACCGTGCTAAAACTAAAATTTTGTTATGTGGTTTTATTTAATAGCTGCATATAAGAATATAATAAAGAAAAATACAATTTAATTGCCTTTTATTTACCTAAATACGCATTTGTTCTAACAAAATAAATGGTAGACGTTACAATAATAATTTTATAGAGAAGTCTATCTGCCAAGTAGGCATATATTATAGACTAAAGTTATAACAACCCTAGTATACTTCCCTGAAAATGAGTTGGAGTCTTGCAGTGCTCTCTTTTTGCACTTACTCATGTATTTATAAATGTTAATTAAAATGTTAGTGTGAAACGGAACGTATAGACGTACGTTCAAAAGTCAGTTATTTTCACTAAAAAGTGAAATTTTTTTTAAAATTGAAAATGTAATGTTTTTATAGAGTTTTAACAGATCAATTTTAACAAAAACATGTACACAGAAAACATTAATTTTGGTTCAATAATTTCTCTAACACACTTAAAACATCAACATATAAAAAATTTTGGAGTTTCAGAACGCATTTACCAAACAATGATTTGGCAAGTTGATTAGAAATAAGGAAAGAAAGAAAAGCTAAAAGCAGTTTGTTAATAATTCATAAGCTTTAATAGTTAATACTTTTTTATATCACTTTTTTACATTATTCAAAGTACAAGTACTAAATGTTACGTAATTCGATAAAGTGATACTTCAATTCAAGGAGGTAAACAGTTTGAACTTAGCGCTCTACATTACACGTTATTTTTATCGTATTTGTTTTGTATATTGTCATTATTAATATCTATGTAAGCTATCATGTTAATATTTAATATATTGCCTAAGTTAGTAACTACAGTTAGATGTTATCCATTGAAGTATGCAGGTAATTGACCTAAATTTGTCACATAACACTTTTTTTATATTTTTTGTTCATTAAAAAATTTAAAATCAGTAATAACCTTTCGAAATATAACAAATTGATAAAAATTTTGAATCGTTTCACTTTAAGAATAAACAGTATTACACTTTACAAACATTGTATAGGTTAGTTTCTCAATTTATTATTAACTCTTTTCCAACGGAAGAACATGTCAAACCGAAATCAAATACCAAAATTCAACATATACCCTCAGTTTTTAACACATTTTGTAATATTTTTATTGGTTATATTCCACAACACAAGTTGCAAAGTTTTCAATCAGTACATTAAATTCCAGTCTGCAGAATGTCAACTGCGGCGAATGTGAAGTTCCACTACGGGCTGACAACATCAGACCCTGAGACACAACCGGTGCTTATTGTTGGCCAAGCAACCCATCTGAACACACTAACATGGCAAGATGTACGCTGTAAACTGGAACCTAGAGTTACTGAAGAGGTAATTGTTTAGTTCGACTTATAATTGAAAAACATTTCAACTGTTATATATTTTGGTCAACTGAAGATTGTCTAATGCTAACCTGTTGTCCCCTAAGTCTAGGATACTTCTTAACTTATGAATAAAGTAACTTCTGTTCAAGTGGATTAAAAAAAAAACAAAAGCAAGTAGCCTATGTATTCTTTCAGACTACCTTCTACATCTATGCAAAATTTTATCAAAATATGTTCAGCAGTTTAGGCTAAAAAGTCTAACCAACATCCATCTATCTAAACTTTTGCATTTATGATGTTAGTAATATGAACATCATTTATTTAGCAACTAGCTTTTACCCACAACTTTGGAATTAAAAAAAAAGTAAATCTTATTTGATTGAGGTTTGTTAGGCAGTTTTGTAGATGAATATTCAGAAACATCCACTTCACAATTATATTAGTATGATAAACATCTACATCCAGGTATGGCAGCGAGGACTGACTGTAGTCTCGGGTGGGGATTCCTGCGAGCTATGGCCGCGTGGTGCTTCGCTCGCTGCGCTCCCTGCCCGGCGCTCGCGTCACGCAGCACCCTCTAGAGGACATGCTCTCTCCAAGATTGTAAAGAACAACCAGCGTGGTAATGCTAGCGAGGAGTTTATAGTGGTGAGTACATTTTGATGTTTAAATTGGTTAAGCAAGCCAGTGGTGTTGTATGTTGACTATAAATCTGTGTTTAAAGTATGTTCACTTTAAAAATAGTTTTTTTTTATATATTTTCTTTACACACTAAAGATATACAGTTATCTTGTCCAGTGCTGGTTTACAGTTGGACAGTAGTGCAGACCTGGCATAGATCATATGCTAACTGGCAACAGACAATCTTGACAATATTCTAGTTTCACTTGTGCCTGCCTAAAAAATAAAGTAAACCATAAAACTATAATGAAAGTTTATCAAAATACTTTTTATGCACATTACACATTTAGCATAAATGTGTAAGAAAATCTGTGTAATGTGTGTAATGACCTCAAATAATAAGCCGAGGTAGCGAAGTATAATAGTCTCTCTCTTTTTAATACTAATATTAAAAAGAGGAAAGGTTTGTAATTTTGTATAACTCAAAAACTACTGGGCTAATTTAAAAAATTCTTTCACATTTGATCAGTAAGTAACATAGGCTATATTTATTATTTTTTAATTTCAAGTAGACAAAGTCTCAAGAAACATCTAGTCTATACTAATATTATAAATAAAAAAGATATATTTGATTCACGCAAAAGCTACTGTGCTGATTTATAAATTCTTTCCACATTAGAAAGGTAATTTGTTTATGTATTATTTTTATCACGCGGGCGAAGTTATGAGCTATAGTTTTAATTAATAATAATACGATTTCCAGTTGGTATGTCGCAAACAAGACGTATTAGCGAGTGCGGTGGCGATCGCCCGCGCGGTGCCGCAGTACTCCGCGCGCACGGACTCCGCCCCGCTCGGCTCCGCGCCTGCGCCCCCGGACAAGAGAGACCTCACTGTCGAGATTGTGTTGGTCGCTGATGAGAAACGTGGTAAGTCCTGTACAAAACTAAATAGATTTCATTATCACCAGCTCACTATGTCTCCATTGAGGGCCTAGAGACTATCCTAAATTAGTGACTAGGCTTTAGTCGCCCACACTGATCTATCATAGTGCGGATTTTTTTTTTTGGCTAACATGTTTTTGGCAAAGGGACATTGGGTATGGGTGAAACTCTTTGTTTCTTTATTTTAAGTTTTTTGTCAAAATCTTACAAATTTCTTAGTAATTCGTTAAAATTTCAATAATATTACAGTTTTTTGCCTTTTTAGAATAGAAAGCAGAAGCTAAGCTAATAGACTAAAAATGTTAAAATGACTAGAACTTAATGAATACTTTGAAATTACTAAAATAACTAGAGATAATGTTAAGATAAGTTTAAAATAATAAAACTAAGTTTACAATTAAAATTACAGTGATAAATAAAATACAACTATATTAAAAATAAAGTTCAAATTACACTAAAATAATGAAAGTGCGGGTTGGTTGACTTCACACATATCTTTGAATTTCTTCAATGATATGTGCAGGTTGCATCACTATGTTTTCCTTCACCGTAAAAACGTCGGGTAAATTAGAATTCGATTGAAACGGGACTAAAATTAGCCCTCCACACTCATCGTCTATTTATCGCCTGTCTTTGTGTGTGGTCATGGTATTGGCACCGATTGAGCCCTACAGTGCGAAGATGTTAAAGCGGGCTCTACCACTGTTGGGGTTTCTGCGATACATTCCACACCTTTTTGATCTAATTAGGAAAAAAGAAACCACTGTTGGGGCTTAATCTTAGCTTAGACTAGATGATATCTTTATTGTAGAAGGTGAATCAGACGAGGAGGAGGTAGGAGGTGTAGACTCAGTGCTACTAGAGACAACCCTCAGCGAAGGGGAGGTGCGCACTCTGCAGCGGGTCGCGGACATGACGCGCCTCGCCGCGCGCATCACCGACACGCCCGCCAACATCATGAATGTTGATAATATCATTGAGGTTAGTACAAAACCGATATACTATGACACTACTTTTTTTATAACAGGTGGCAAACAAGCAAGCGGCTACCTGAATCCACCGAAATGGAAAGTGATCGCTGCACAAACATCCGCAATTGCAGATGCGCTGCCTACCCTTCATTGACGGAGGAGAAGCACATAAAGAGGACATTCCCCCTCCTAGGCGTCTCTTCCACCGTCAAATCCACTTTTCATTCCTATCCTTTCCTCTTAAGAAAAGGGCGGAAAGGTACCAAAATTAGGCCTCAGGCACACTCATCAGACTGTACGCGGAATTACTCCCACTTCACGCCTGTTTTCTGTGTGGTTGTGGTATTGCTGGAGGCGAGCTGGCCCATTCTTGCAAAGATGTTAAAGCGGGCCACTACACAATCAGGGTAAAAATACCAATCGAATGACACCTTATTTGTTAAAATCGGTTTAGCTTTTTAGACTATAGGAGATTACAAAAGAATTTAGAACTCCATATACATGATTTGCTTGAGATAAACTCTTCGTTTAAGAGATTAGATTTATTCATACTCCGGAGTCATTTTACCCTCATTCGATAGTCTCCAGTGTAACCAACAGCTAATTAAAAAAATCTACTGAACAAGTTTAGATAAAAACACGTGACGCTTTGAGTTTAGTGTGTATAAAACTCCGTCGAATTAAGGATTAAAAAAATTAGATTAGTTCTGACTAGTCTTATCATAAAAACTTAGACAGCATTTCAAATACATTTAAACATATGTTAATCCGTTATACCGTGACTAACGGCCGGTGCTGATTTTTGACAAATAGAATTGAAACATTTTTATGCGTAAGCTTTCGTAATGCGATTTTAACCAAACTATAACTAATATTATAAAGAAGAAAAATTTGTATTTTTGTATGTATTGCAATAACTGAAAAAATAATAGGCCGATTTTAAATTTAAAATAGCTATGTTATCAGTGAGTAACAAAGGCTATATTTATTAAATTTTTTCCGCGTAATCGAAACGCTAACAGCTACTAAATAATGTAATACTCATAGATGTATCCGTTAACCTTTATAATATGGACAGCTGTTAGTGTTTTTTTATTTTATTTTTAAATAATGTTAACGATTGAACAGGAAGCATTCGCAGTAGCGAAGTCGTTAAACATCCCGGAGCCGACAGTGATCAGGGGCGAAGAATTACTGGCCCGGGGCATGGGCGGGCTGTACGGCGTGGGGCGTGCGGCGGCGCAACGCCCCGCCCTGGTCTGCCTGTCGCACCGCACGCCCGGGGCGTCGCGCGCCCTGGCCTGGGTGGGGAAGGGCATCGTTTACGACACCGGCGGACTCAGTATTAAGGCAAGGGTATGTTTTGTTATTGTGATGTCTGCTTAAAGATTGCTTCCACTGACTGTTCATTTATTGAGCGACTAGCTTGCGCCCGCGACTCCGTCTGCGTGGAACAATGTGTTCTACCGGACTATGTTCTACATCTATGCTAAATTTCATTGAGATCTATTCAGCTGTTTAGGCTACTAACTCTAACAAACATCCATCCATCTAAACTTTCACATTTATAATATTAGTAAGAAGTAAGATGTACAGTCAGCTGCATCAATGTGTACTACTAAATCTTAGAAATTTGAATACATGTTTTGCAACATTTGTATGCATACAAACATGTATTCAAATGCTATTCTTTAATTTTTTTACAATAATCTATATCTATACTTCTTTACTAATATAGTAAAGCGTAAACACACATTACTTTGTAGCATAGGATTTCAGAAATCACAGCATATTTTTGATTATTCCTTTCTTTAATAAAAAGCCCTACACTTACGTCACGCTTTAGGCTATATTTACGCTATTAAACTTGGGGGATAAATAAATTGGAGAAAAACCATCATGTGGGAAAGGGACCATAATCTACAAACTGCCAACATTACGGAAGCAAGGTTGCGATGGTTTGCCATGTCATGTCATTTGGACATTTGCTGATAATTTGACAAATATAAATAGTACATTAAAATTTTCATAATTTTATGCGGATAAAGTCGCATGGGAACAGCTAGTTTTGTATATTTTTTTAAAACCAAAGCCTTGTACAACATTCTGTTTACAGTAGTTATGCTTATGAAGCTAATTGTACATATGAGTTGTCTGTTTATATGTGTATTATTATTGTTACTAAAAGATTCTCTATTTTGAATAAAATTATTTTTATTATGTGTTTATTGTGGCAGAGTTCAATGGTGGGCATGAAGGGGGACTGCGGCGGCGCGGCGGCGGCGCTGGGGGCCTTCGCCGCCTTCGTGGCGGAGCACCCCGACATCGACGTGCACGCGGTGCTCTGCCTCGCGGAGAACGCGGTCGGACCTCATGCCACCAGGTGATAAAACTCAATAAAAAAAAAACAATATTTTGCTTGGTCATAATACCAAAACTGTATAAAATCTCATTTTGTTTATTAACTGTTGCTTGTGACTTCATGTGGAATTAAAAATAGTAAAATATGTAGCCTATGTTACTCGCTGATCAAATTTTAGTCGAAAAATCTTAGTTTTTTTTTAAATTCTATCTACAAATCTTACTAATATTATAAATGCGAAAGTTTAGATGGATGGATGATTGTTAGAGTTTGTAGCCTAAACGGCTGAACGGATCTCGATGAAATTTTCCACAGAGAACATAGTCTGGAAGAACACATAGACTACTAACTTTTGTTTTTTTTTATTCCACGCGGACGGAGTCGCGGGCGAAAGCCAGTATTTTAAAATCATAATACTATAGAAAATTGACCAAATATTTTGCGCTTAAACTATAGCTGTTGTAGATCCTTTACGTGAAAGAAATGTTTTTCAAGTTTCTTGGTAGAATTTTTGTCACAATGTCTGTGGTTTTGTGTTTGCTAATCTCAGAAATTAACTGATTTAAATACAGCTTACATTTATTTATTGTAATAAATTTAACATAGAATTTAGTATCATTGAAATGCGTAAATTATAATTATAACTGTTATCCAGTATAAATAGACATCTAATATGTTTGATTAACAAAGAATGTAGAGGTCACTTTGCTCTGGATATAATATTTTTTTTCATATTTCAGGCCTGACGATATACACCGTCTTTACTCCGGTCGTACTGTGGAAATAAATAATACAGACGCTGAAGGTAAATATTAAAATGTTTTTAACTAGCTTTTACCCGCGATTCCGCGCTGGAATTTAAAAAAAAAAACAGTAAAAAGGCTATTTGTTCTTCCAGACTATAACTATGACAAATTTCATCTGGATTTACTAAGACAGTTTGAATAACATCCAAAAATGTAAATTATCTTTTTAGCAAAGAATTAAAAAAATTAGGTAGCCTGTGTTCTAGATTTTACTCTATATCTGTGATAAATTTTATTGAAGTTCAGTAATTTAGGCGCTAAAGTCGTAATATCCATCCATCCAGACTTTTATTTCTGTGGTACCCAGGTCGTCTAGTGCTGAGTGACGGCGTGGTGTACGCACAGAGAGACCTGAAGGCAGACATTATAGTGGACATCGCCACGTTAACTGGAGCACAGGTTAGAAAACTTAATTTATCTATATTAATAAAAAGCTGCAAATCTGTGGAATGATCTGCCTCGTGACGTTCGTGATTTTAAATCCCTTGGTATCTTTAAATTTCCTTAAGAGTGACTCTCGCTGAAATGTTTTTGCTTTTTCCTTATTAAGTTTATTTGCTGTTTATGTATGTTTGTTTATTATGTAGAATGTAAATATTTGTGTTCGTGTTTTTTTTTTATATGTATTAATTTCCCTTGTGTGTTGTTTCTCCTGTACCACTGGGTTGCCTGTAAGAGATTGCCCATAGCAATAAGGCCGCCCTTGCAAGTTTTTTTTTGTATTAGTATAGTTTAAACATTTGTATTATAATATTTGCATAAAGATTTACATAAATAAATATTATAAAGAGGAAGAATTTGTATTTTTGCATATAAATAACTCAAAAACTGCTGACCAGATAATAAAAATGTTTTCACCGTGAGGAAGGTAATTTATCTGTATAACTTGGGTTCCATTTTTTAGTATTTCTCAATTTCACGCGGACGAAGTCGCGTGCAACAGCTAGTTATTTATATTTACTTTCGCCCGTGACTCCGTCCGCGTGGAAAAAAAAGTAAGTAGCCTATGTGTTCTTCCAGACTATCCTCTATATTTAAGACAAATTACATCGTGATGCTTTCAGCAATTTACCTTCTTACTAACATCCATCCAAAATGTTGCATCTCACACTGGTGTAGCGAATCCAAAGATTTTATTTTGATATGTATATAAAATCACTATTTTTTCAATATTTAAATAAAAAAATTAAAATACATACTTTTAACAATAATAAAATTATAGTTCAAAAAACCAATAATTATTTGCTATTAATTACTATTAAAAAACTGAATTACTATAAAAATATTGATTAATATTTGGATTTCATATATCTGCTTATATATAAAATTACTAGGCCGATTCTAAAAATTCTTTCACCATTAGTAAGGTAATTTATCTATGAGTAATATAGTTTTTTAATACGGACGAAGTCGCGAGCAACAGCCAGTTTACTCTAATTTACATATGTATTGTTTATTGCACGAATATTCCAGGGTACAGCGACAGGCAAGTACCACGCGGCGATAGTATCCAACTGCGGCGTGCTGGAGCGGCGCTGCGTGACAGCAGGCCAGCGCGCTGGAGAGCTGGCGCACGCGCTGCCCTACGCCCCCGAGCTGCACTTCCCCGAGTTCACCAGCGTTGTTGCAGACATGAAGAATAGTGTTGCTGTATGTAATTGATTTTTATTATCTATATTATTATAATAAAGCGTTAAAATACACTTCTTTGTTGCCTAAGATGTCAGCAATTACAGCATATTTTTGAATAGTTCTTCTTTTAATAAAAAGCCCTACACGTACGTCACGCTTTAGCTATAAATTTTAACGCTATTAAACTTAGGAGGTAAATATTTTGGATAAAGACCCTAATGTGGGAAAGAGACCATAAGTTGCTGCCAACATTAAGGAAGCAAGGTTGTCATCATGTCATGGCATTTTACACACATAGGCTTGCTTTTGCTTTTTTTTATACCACGCAGACAGTATCGCGGGCTAAAACTAGTATAGAGTATAGACAAATATTATATTTGTAGTAATAAAAGATTATTCTGCAGGATCGTAACAACGCGCAACCTTCGTGTGCCGGATTGTTCGTGTTGTCGCATCTCGGCTTCGACTTCCGCGGCGGCTGGCTGCACATCGACATGGCCGCGCCCGCGCACTCCGTAAATATACTCATAAATGCACCTTACAACACGCACCCCCAAAACATTAGCAACACACCCCCAAAACTTATGCCTTTAAACACACACCCCCCAGTCATATCTGAACACGCTTTTCCTAAAACATGCGCCTTTCTACACAGGTCCCCAGTCACATGTATCAACATATACCCCCAATTTGTTCAACACTCAATACATGCCCCCAAAGAAATTCATTAACATAAATCATTAACCAAAGACACATGTCAACATAGACCCCTCGAAACATTTAACTCTCAACACACCCCCAAAGACATTTTTCAATATCAGTACAGTAATATTGTACAATATATCTATTTCAGGGTGAACGTGCGACAGGGTACGGCGTCGCGCTACTCAACGTGCTGTTCGGTGC